AATGTTTTTTTCCCTTAATCAGGGCGAATGAATTAGGTTCACTTGCCTGGAGATGGGCAACCAACTATAGAAACAAATTAGTTTTCCATTCCATGTATGTTTCCGGTGGGTGGATCTTTTGAGATTTCCATAAATACATCTACTAAGGAACACATCAGGAAACGGAATATTTAGTTTAGATTCATTTTCTTTGGTGAACTGTAAAGAGGAATGGCAATTGTTGAAAGCGAACAATTGTCGGTAACCCTGTTTCTAAACTGTATGTATCAATATAATCACATATGTAGCAAACAGTTTCCATGAGACGTACATTAGTAAATAGCGAAGTCACATCTAATGAGAACATGACTTTGTCTGAGATATTAAGATCTTTAATATCCTCAATGAATTGAAATGCATCATTTAAAAGTAAACTACTTATCACTGGAAAGTAGTGAAAGTTGTATTTGTTAATTGTTAGCCATTTCTTTATTTGCCACTGTAGTTCAGCTCACTCGATGAACATTTTTTGCTCGTATGCCTTTGATCTCTATATGGCATTCGCTCGCTGTTTAAATAACACTTGGATATCATTTGATGCAGCTCTGCTGCTTTTACACATTCACGCAAATTGACTGTGCTACTTTAAACAGCGTTCAGTCACGGACATCTCACACCTCATTGACCTCAGCACTACAGACAGCACCTTCAGGAACACCGTCTACGCTGACTGAAGCAGTGGATAATTTTCCATTATATACAGTGTACTACTTCCTATCAGAAAAATGAAAATGCAACCATTTATTAGTCTCTTTTTAGCGAATTCATTCACTTAGCTCTACTACAATCTCAATTATGCATACTTATTTTTCTAGGTATGTGTACATTGGGTTTGTCCGATGAGAATAAAAAATAATTTGTGGGTTATTGTTTTCAAAACATTTCAAAAGTGTGATTAGTAATCTGGAAAACCTAGAGTTATATATACAAAATAAAATTATCAAACCATTTCTACTGTCATGGTGACAATTATGTTGATTCCTACTGACTTGATGTTTGTGTGTCTGTTTTTTTCTAACTCTTTATGGCATTTTTAAGAGTTGATTTGCAAGGATTTCATTTGTTTTACGAGTTTACCTGCGGAATTATATCAGTTAGAGAGCCATTGGAAACCAGCACTGGAGTACTGAACAGCTGTCTCTTCAGCCTAGTTTGGGGTTCATCGGCACTATGCATCCACTGAGAGGGCTCGAACCCACGACCTCCCGGTAACAAGGCAAGGTCGTATACCATTCAACTACTGAGACCCGATTCAATGGCCAGTCCATGAATTCTAGCTTCTACCGATTCATGATGGATTTAGTGCGACCACCAATCAATGTCATTGGTGGGACATCCATCCTCACTCCCGACTGGATGGACCCCACTGGTCACGACGTCTCACTCGAACTCATGAGCCATTGAATCGGGTCTCAGGAGCTAAATGGTCTACGAGCTTCCCTTGTAACCGGAAGGTCCTGGGTTCGAACCCTAGTGGGTGCGTGCTGCCGATGATTCTCAAACTAGGATGAAACAGCTGTCCAATACTCCCTGGTTTTCAATGGTTATCTAACTGATATCAATCCACTGGCAAATTCGAAAAGTAGTTATTAATGTCAATCGCCATACAGAGGAAGTTGAATAAACGTAATACAGTTATGTAATAAAATAAATAATTTAATGAGTGAGCTTTGATTGCAATGCACATAGAAACAAAGGAAAATACGGAGTTATGTAAGAGTTCTAAAAGTTACAAATGTTTGTAGTGGACTAAACGGTTAAGTTCGTTTATACCCGAAATAAAAAGAGTAAAACGAATACAAACATGTATGTATGTAGAAGTGTATTCAGTCCACTAAAAAATTAACATACACATAAAATGCAGTCATTTGAAAAGTTATAATTATCTAAAAATACTCAAATATAGACATACAGAATGGCAGGGATGAAATAGTCCTCTTCTTGGGTATACGGATGCTCACTGCACGTAAGAGATACCGACGGCCGAAGGACACTAGCGGAGAGAAAAGGAGATTTAGAGCAAAGGATCCTAATGGGGATGTACTGACGACTTACAAGCCAGAGTTGGTTGGCAGATGTGGAAAGTGAGAAGCTGGAGAGAGAAGAAGTGTCGTCCGTATTACGCGCGGAACTAGGTAGTGACCTTGTTCAATATTACGCAACAACCATGATTTTCTGTGAATTCATTACTTTTTACTATTTTTCAGTGAACGCATAATTTGATACTTTCCGGTCACCACATGTTATAATGTGTTAGCAAAAAAACAAGTTTACAAACATCATTCCAGCAGAAATCAACACAGTTATTTCCATGACACTAGAAGTGGTTAGATGTTGTACTTTTGTATACATAACTCTGATTTTCCCGACTGAACGGCTAAGGCTTCAGATCTATATAAGATTTGTAATTTTAGAATTCTTACATAATCCTATATTTTCCTTTTGTTTCTATGCACATCCTAACCACAACTCATTCATTAAACTATTCATCTTATTGAGTGACTATATCACGCTTATTCAACTTCTTTTATGTGTTGATTGACATTAATAACTGTGGTTTTTGACAATACATCACCACTACCCTCTTACCAATCTTCACTTGACAACAATAACCCCAACTTATTCTTAGTTCTTTCGAACAAATCTAATGTACACACACATAACTAGAAAAATAAGTATATATAATTGAGATTGTACAGCTAAGTGAATAAATCCTCCGGAAAGAGACTCTTCGCTGAACTACGTGTTTTGTTTTCATTAATGTCTGGATAGGGATTATTCATGTGTTACAGTAAGCTTTCTTAGCAAAAGAGGCCTAGGTTCAGAGCCAAAAGCCCATTATGTAATCTACGAAGGTACATCGGACATATTAGACATCTTTGTCTGAAAAGTGAAGATAGTATTTATCGACAGATTACTGCTTTCAATGGGCCACTTGAGTAGTATGCTATAAATTCATAAAATAAAAATTTATTGTTGTATAGCTCTTACATTTTATTTTGTGTGTATTACAATCTCTTTCCTGCTGATTGCCTCCAACCATCTAATACCAAAAAGTGTTAAACTGTTTAAGTGATTGATTGAAAAATCAATAAAATTGATCACATTTGAAATCAACATATATAACATGGAATATATACCGAATATCAAGACTTCTGAATAATAATTAATAATAATAATGCCATGTACACACAATGTTTGTATGACACTATGTAATTACTTAACAAAAGATCGTTTGAAGTGTATAACAATAGTCTTAGCCTCATCAATGATAATATCAATCAACAATGGAATAATGTATGTTCCTGGAATATATGTTCCTTATTGGCGAGAAGAAATGAATGCAAGTAGATTTCAATTAGATTTTATTGGTTCACTACAAATGGGATTTGCATTTTGTCAAGGTAAAATGTAAAACTTGAATTTATTCTTATGGTTGTTGCTAAATATTCAAAACACACTATACAGGTCCATTTGTAGGCTATCTTATCCGTCGATTTGGTTGTCGTATAATATCTGCTATTGGTGGTACAATCTGCGCTATCTCCTTTACAATTTGTTCATTCACTGTACACATCAGTATGCTTTATATATTCTATGGAGTAATCAGTGGTAATAAACCATAATCAACAATAAAATACAACTTTTTTTCTCAAAAACGAACAGGTTTAGGTATTGGAATGATGTATATGAGTGCTGTAGTCGCTGTGACAATAAATTTTGATGAAAAACGACCAATAGCTATGGGTATTGTAACTTGTGGTACAGGTTTAGGTAAGCAAATGTATTTAGAAAAATAATGAAAAGTAATTTGGTTTAATTTAAACCTTTATTTTCATTATAATAAACGATATTGTTATTACTGGCGTTTCGCTAATTAATGCTAATAGCTTTATCAAAGTATTATTAAACCAGAATTTACAAAATCTTAGCTTATATATGACAAATTAATCATCATTCATCAGCATGTGGTCGTTTTTGCGTTGTCGAATTGGCCAATTGGTAAAGATAACAAAATCAGGTGTAGATTGTTGGATTTGATAATTGTGTAAAATTATAAAAGCAGCATGTGTTTACATAGTGAAATTGCTTATCACATTGGTGTTGATTTTGTCACTTCATGGGGGATGCGGGTATTGTAACCAGATTAAATTCTATTTTAGTCCATCATTCCTATTCGAACAATCTGGATTCCATTTGATATGAAGTGCTTCTGATTGTTGTAAGACGTTCTTTGTGATTTCTGAAATGCTTTTTCTGGATGATGATTTCAATATTGTTAAAATCAATTTTGTGGTCTGATTCTATAGCGTGTAGACAAGCTATGGCTGATGATTTTTCAAGCTTTTCTAGATCAACCGGATTTCTCGGTGGTTGAACAGATAGATGTCCTACGGTATTCATTTCTTCTGATTTTGATTCCTCTCCGACGATGTTTGTCCAATGTAAATCGCATCACACTCCAAGCATTTTATTTTATAGACACAATTAGACAGAGAATCTTTAGGGATTCGGTCTTTTATATGGACAAGGTTGTTTTGCAGTGTTTCTGATGTCTGATGAAGAAAACTTTGATGTCGAACTTATTGAGAACTCTTCTGATATCGTTTGATGTCTCCAATCTATATGGAATGACAGCTGTTGAGATCCGTGTTTTCGGAATACTTTTTCGACCATGTTTAATGGCAGTGTTGATTTTGCTGATGAAGTTCTTTGGTTAGTTGTTTTGCTTGAGAGTTTCGGTAATGTTTGATATTTCTTCTTCTTTTTCTTTCTCATCTGTTATCAGCAAGTGTACTCGTCCAAGAAGACTTGAAACAACTGATACTTTTGCGCTAAAAAAAAACTTTATTATAATGAATATCATATACCCAATGCTTAAATTTTTTTCAAACTATTAAAAGTGAACTTGGTTCGGACATTTATAACTTTCATTTTATTTTATTTTATTATTTTTTTAGGAGTTTCATCTTTGAGTTTTTTTATCCCATTACTATTAAAGAAGACAGGATGGCGTAATAGTATGTACATGCTTTCTGGACTTTCTATTTGTCTTGCTTTATTTGGTGCATGTTTAATTTCAAGAAAAAATCAAAAAAGTGCATCAACATCTACTTATTTTACTGATACATTACCAAGAAGTATATTTGAAGATGTTAAACTTCCAGTACAATTATTTGGTTCAACAAAAGAATTGAATTCAGCGATTAAATTGACAGATCTTGTCGATGTTAGATATGGTCATCATTTATTAGGTAGTCTTGGATCATATTTCTACATGACACAAATAAATCAAATTCATTTAAAAGAATTAAGAAAGAAGAAGAAAGCTTTAAGTTTATTGATTATCCCTGAATATGATTTGTATCTGGCAGGAATGTTGTTGCTGTCGTGTGTATTTATGGTACCGTTTGTTTTCATCTACGATTGGTTAACTATCAAAGGATATAATGCAAATCAAATATCGATTGTTTTATTAATGAATGGAGTATTCGGTGGATTTGCTAGATTATTCATTGGAATTATCTCAAATATGAAGTGTTCTCGAACTGTGATAATCCTGTTATTCTGGTTAGCAGTATCAGGAATTCTATCTATTTCGTGTACATATTTTAATGAACCATGGCAATATGCTATTTACTCAGCGATAGATGGAATTTGTTGTGGTAAGGGATAATGCACACTAGAAGGTTCTCTTTTAGATAAAAAACAAAACAAATTTTTATTTTATATAGTTGGTTTGTAAGGATTAGTTTTGTTTTTACGAGTTGATCACGGATTGATATCAGATAGAGAACAATTGAAAACCAGCACTGGAGTACTGGACAGCTGCTTAGTTTACGAATCATCAAAAGTAAGCACCCACTGGAGTTCGATCGCATGACTTCCTGGGTACAAGCTAAGCTCGTATATCATTTAGCCACTGAGACCCGATTCAATGGCCAGTCCATGAATTCTACCTTCTACCGATTCGTGATGCATTTAGTGCGACCACCAACCAATGTCATCGGTGGGACATTCATCCTCACACTTGACTGGATGCACCTTACTGGTCACTTCTTCTCACTAGAACTCCAGGAAACTCCATCCTGTATCAAGTCACTATCGAGCACCAGATTAATTATCTATAGTTGGTTTGTAAGGGTGGGGTTCCAGTGGCTGAATGGTATACGGGCTCACCTTGTAACCCGAAAGTCGCGGATATGAACCCTAGTGGGTGCTTACTTCTGGTGATTGGTAAACTGGGCTGAAGAGACAGCTGTTCAGTACCAGCAGGGATTACTAGACAGCTGTGTCATCCTAGTTTGAGACTTATCGGCAGTCCTCACCCACCGGGTGGCGCTAAATTCACAAATTTGTAGAAGTTAGAATTCATGCGCCATTGAGTCGGGGCCCATTGGATGAGTGGTCTTAGACATCACCAAGTAACCGGAAGATCCTGGGTTCGAAACACGGTGGATGCACACTGATGATGAGTCCCGAACTAGACTGAAGAGATAGCTGTTCAGCACTCCCTGGTTTTCAATAGTTCTCTGACTGGTATCAACCCATGATCGAATGTGAAACTATTTAAAACGCCACAAACAAGCTTCTGGAAAATAAAATATCAGTCATAGGACATAGGACACTAAATCTTTCAAACCGCACACAGAAAATATATTAAAAATACAAAAACTTCAAATGAAAACCTTATTTCTCGTTCGAATCGGAATAATTCTCTTGTCCATGCCAAGTAAAATACTGAGTCGCATCATCCTGGAGAGAATAAAGGATGCACTGGATACAGAACTCCGCCAGCCCACAACAATCTGGATTCAGGAAAGGCAAATCATGTACTGATTAAATTGCAACTCTTCTCATTGTCATCACAGAACAAAGCATAAATTGGCAGTCAAACCTCTACCTCAACAACCAACCTCATCGACTTCGAAAAGGCCTTCAGTAGACAGCGTTCACTAAGAAGTAATTTGGAAACTACTTCAACACAACGGCGTACCTCAAGTCGTTTTAAACCTTATTCAACAGCTGGCTATATGACAATGCCCACGTGTCAAGTGATCCACGACGGAAAACTCAGTGAGGCTTTCGATTTGCATACAGGAGTTAGACAAGCTGGCTACCTATTATCACCGACGATGATATTCCTAATTGTAGTGGACTGGATTATGCGTCAGACTGTTGGGGGCTAGGAGTCAGGAATACGCTGGAAGACCAATAAGAAAACTCCGGAAGATCTGGATTTGGCAGATGATATATGTCTAATGTCACACAAACTCGAAGACTTGCAAGCGAAAACCAACAAACTGGCCGATGGGGCTGGCAGCGAAAACAGGACTGCAGGTGAACACAGAGAAGATAACCAACCAACAGCAGCAACAACCGGCACCAGTCAACTTCAATGGGAGACATTTGAAAGAAGATACCTCCTTCACTTCGTCTCAACTACAGGGAGAACGAATGAAGATGTCAAAGACAGAATCGGAAAGGCAAGCTACACCTTCATCAACCTTAAACCAGTTTGGCAATCTTTGTCACTCAGCATAAGGAACAATATTCGCATCTTCAGCACAAATGTGAAGGCAGTCGGTGCTTCTATACGGGTCAGAAACTTGGCCAACGTGTCGCGAAAAGGATTTCCAGCAGGTTGCAGACTTTCATCAACAGATGCCTTTGCTGGCTACATACTGAAATTCGAATGGCCAGAAAGAATATGCAACAAGAAACTCTGGGAACAAACCAACAGGCGAGAGCCGATCGCTCAACACATATGTAGGAGAAAATGGAGATAGATCGGGCATACATTGAGGAAGCAGTAGAATGGCATCGCACGCCAGGCCCTCGAGTGGAATTCCAATGGGAAGCGACGAACAGGCCGTCCAGGGTATCATGGAGGAGATCCTGTGAGGAAGAGATGAGGGAGTTTGTGGAATCGTCGACCCAGTTGAAGAGGACAGCAGAAAACAAAAGATAGTGGAGATGTGTTGTTGAAGCCTTATGTTCCACTCAGAGTGCAAGGGAATCATAAATAAATAATAAAACATAGTCATTTGGAAAACAACATGGATCAATAGGATCAAAGCTCAAGGATGTGAGTTATTGGATAACAGTAGAGGTTGTAATAATAGCAAGGATAAATTTACACAAATGTTCATAAGTTCTCGGTAGTCGTAAATGCTTCAGTGCAGGGTATATACTACAAGGGGGAAATAATGCTCGTCACAATCCCATTATATTGTATAAAAATACGATGAAACAAGACGTAAACAGCAAAGAATATTTCCGGATATCATCATGAACTGACATTAGTTAGAGAACCATAGGAAAACCTGGGAGTACTGGACAGCTGTTTCGTTCTTATTTGGGACTCCTCGGCGGTACGCACCCACTGAAGTTTGAAACCAGGACCTCCTGATCTCAAGGCGAGACCGCATAACGTTAAGCCACTGGGACCCACTCCATTGGCCATCCCTGCCACTTCACGTTAAAGCGCGGCCACTAGCGAATGTCATCGGTGGCTAATACTTGTCCTCACACCCAACCTGCTTTACAAATACTAGCCGATGACACTCTGTTTGAATGTGACTTTTTAATTCTATGTTCATGAAGAGGGTTCTCTTGGGAACAGTCGCAATCTTCGGCGATGTCAGTTTCTCTTTTATCTTTTTGTCGATAAATCTGAGTGGACACCCATTCTCAACTAGTTTTTATAATAGCAACTGTGATCGATTCTCTACCATATCTCCTGAACAGATTTCCATAATCTTTAAGCATCAAGTACGTATTAAATTTTGCTTTCCGATCAGTGGCACAAAGCCCTGGAGTTTAATGAACTATCCAGTCCATGTTCGTTTGAGGTATATTGGTCTTTAGATCGAGTAGCCTTGTCTTTTAGTTAGTATTACATTCAGGTATGCAAACGGCATGTTTGATTCACTTTCGAGAGTAAATTTTATTGAAGGGCTTGCAGCGTTGAAAGTTGTGAGATTGCCTAGATCAAATTCTTCATCATAAACTATGAAAATGTCATCTACATATCTCTTGCAGAGGTACAGTTGACTGGACAAAGGATCAAGGATATTGTCTTGAAATAATTGAACTGTATGGTTTTGTTTGTTCATACACTTTCGACGTTATGACTGGATCTTCCTTCATTTTATTCAGTAATTTTGTAGGGAGGCTTTCTGTTCTTTCGTTTGTGTTTTTATGGTTGGGTGATTTAAAGAATTTGGTATTATTTGATGATATGTGTGTTGATTTTTCAACATAATCTGATCTGTTCATTATTACAATCCTGTTGCTCTTACCAGGATGAATAAGGATTGTCTCTACTTTCTTGAAATTGTGAAACTAAGATTAAAATATACAACTATAGCACAGCATGATACCGTATGATATAATAAAGTTAGCAATACAAATAGAAATATATCTACATATATCCGGTGTCACAGGAGAGATAACCGTTTTAGGTTGGAAGACAAAGATTGAAATTTTTATGACAACCGCCTCAGCTACATTTAACAATCGAAAGCGTACAGACTTAGGGAATTGATGTGCAACTTTTTCTAGAATTATAAAGATATCAGTTCTATCAACCGTGTTCTCCTTATCCACAAGATATGTCGGTATAGATCTCCTGATTGACTCTTTTATTTAACCGTCTTGGATAATGTTCAGGAAAGCGATGGTGAGCTTCACAAATCGCTCTACCTATTTGACTGTTTCCAGAAGAACTACTAAATTTATAAATGCACATTGAAGTGGTTAGACTCGGTAGCTTATCCTTCACCCACGTAGGAATTATACAATGAGTAGTGAATATCAAATATAGCGTTGCGGCAAAGAATGTTTTAGATATTATTTTTCGGAGTTTCGCCGGCAATAATTCAGTGGCTGTGTCATTTTTGAACTGTAAAGTCTTATATTTACACATATATCTTTCTTCTCCACAGATCGCAGGTATTTCTGTCTATCTGTTTTCATCGTGGCTAATGAGACTGATCATAGGTGCCTGCATTCTATCTCCCGTGTGAAATGGTATGGTAGTGTAAGCAATATTGAGGTTAGGCGTCGAATGCTGGGTGGGCGAGAAGGGGAAATCAATCAACGAGGATGCGAAGCTACATCGACTGAGATGGTTAGGACACGTGTTACATATGCACATCTAGCCATCACCTTCCTCGACGGGAAATGTCAGCTGACAAAGGATCAGGTTGGAAAAGAGCCAGTGCTGGTCAAACCAAAACATGGCTTCACCGGTCAATGAAATCCACAACAGTTAGTTTAAGTGAGCCAGCCACGTAGGGGAATGTAGACTTCCTAACTCGTTGGGGTCCTCGAGACGATATCACCAATGAAGACTGGAGACAATCAGTGATATGGCTCAAAATTGTTCTCAGTGATGGCGCAGATGCATCCACTCCTTGTGAATAATAATACCCAATGAAACTATATTGTTCTTTGATATTACTATTCATTTTGTCTCATATTTCTGTTTACTGTCTCTACTTTGCATTCTGTTTTACTTTTTTCTCTTGGTTTGTGTGCTACATGGAGTGTGGTGACGTGAACTGCTGCACACCGGTGGAAAGTTCTAAGTTGAAACGAGTCAGTCAGACAGACTTTCTGAATCTCCGTTCTTATATAATGAAGTTTTCTATTGTCTTTATTTCACTGTCAAGAATGTCGACTGTGCAGAATTTTTCTAGCACAAAACATTAAGGTACTGATGATTCTGTTTGATTCTATCTATCAACATTGTTTCAAATGTCTATTACTAATATTTTTATTATGTAATTGTAAAACCTGATGACGATTTACCGGAAAGTACGTATTTGCTTGCTTAAATCATATTCTATGCATATCATAAGTGAAAATATTAAAATATATATTTATTCGTTTCATTACAGGTGCATATAGTGTTCTACAACCACTTGTCTTGGTAGAAATTTTATCCAGAGATCATATTACCCAAGGTCTTGGAATACTTTTATTCGTCTGTGGTTTAGGCTATCTATTCGGTGTGCCTATCCTTGCAATAGTTTATGATCAATGGAAAAGTTATGAACTATGCTACAGGATATGCGGAATAATTTGCCTCACAGCTAGCGGTTTAGTATTCACTATATGGATGTTATCTTATAGAAAGGTGAGATTAGAAATGGCTGAATTAAAATTGAAACAAAATTTGGAGAGAAGTTATCAAATGTACAATAGAAGTCAAACAGATTCATCATCAAGTACAAGTCAGCTGAAGGATATTGAATAGAATAGGATGAAGTAATACAAAATGGATCACATAAAATACTATTTTCAACATGGAAATTTTACAATATGCATAAATAAAACGTATAATTATTTTTGTATTTATGATGTTCATTAATAAATTACGAAAGCACAAAATCTTTTTTTATTAAAGCTTGATTCCACACCGTATTATTGGTACAGGTGTGGAATTTTCAGCATGTGATATCGGTAGCCCGAATTTTGCAGGCTGACCATAGATATCAGGTGTGCGTCGGCAGGGGATCGAACCCCGGACCATGTGCATGGTCGGTGAGAGTCCTAACTACTGTGCCACCAACGCACTTTGTATATATATATATATTGTGTAATGCAACGATAATATCTTGGGTATATTAACAGACGTAACATATATGTACGAGTAAGGAAATGATTTCAGGTGTTTGTTTCCAGGGATTTGACTGCTTCCAGTGACAGAACCATTGAAAACCAGGTGGTAATGGATGGCTCTTTCGTCCTATTTTCAGATTGTCCATGATATGACTGTGAATGCACTTGGTAGTTGAGCTAATGAATTTCCTACCTAGACGATTCGCGAGCCTATTGTTCTAACCAATATTAACAACAGCGACGACAATAACAACACGATATGATACTACCAAAAACAGGATGCATGAAGAGGAAAAGCCTCATTGATGTGGACAGCTTTTGCTGTCTTGTATCAACACTGAAATAAGGTTGAGAGCGCTTGCATATATGCATGCTTTAAATGACCTTGAAGGATACTGATTACATTGATAAATTAAAACAGTCAGCAACCAATAAGATTTAAAGTCATAAGTGCGGTGAGGGAAATACGAACAAAAATGTAAGATAAATGTGGTATTATAGGTAAATGAGGTGATCACCTTCCTCGACGGGCAATGTTAGCTGATATAGGGTCAGGCTGAAAAAGAGCTAGCGGCGGTCAAACGAAAACATGGCACCAGTCAATGAAATCCACAACAGTTAGTCTAAGCCACGTAGGAAGGTGCTGACTTCCTGGTTGGGGTCCTCGGGACGGTATGCACCAGTGGTTGGAAACAATTGGTGACATGGCTCAAAATCGTTCTCAATGGCTAGCGCAGATGTATCCACTTCTTGTGACCTATGATTTTCAATAAAACTATATTGTTCTTCGTTATTACTTTTCCTTTGTGTCACACCTCTGTGTACTGTCTCTATTATGAATTTCTCCTACTTTCTTCTCTTGCTTTGTGTGCTGAGTGAAGTGTGGCGACTTGAACTGCCGCACATATATGCAAAGTTCTATGTCGAAAACAGGCAGACAGACAGATAAAACAGTTCAGTGGTATACACCCGAGACCTTCAGGTTACGAACCGTGCCCTTTGGCCATTGAAGCGCTCGGACAGAATCCAACAGCTCCTGAATTCTAGCTTCTGCCATTTTGGCTATATATAGTGCCACCGCAAGTCAGTGTCATTAGTGTGTATTCGTTCTCACACTCAAGCTGGTGGATCCCACCAGTCACTAAACCAATCAAATCCCTATTGCTCATAATGCTGTCAGGACTTCTAGTGAGGTGTCTGGTCACGATGAAGAGTCTCACACTGAAGTGAAACAGTTAAAATTATTTCACTTCATCAAAGGACTTGACAGACTACCTTAATAGGATTAAGAACTTCTACAAAATAAAGTGGGCCTGTATATCTGAAGGAATAGTAGACTTCCTGAGGATTTTAGTAGGATTACAGATGGATAGACCTCCATAGTTATCATCGATTTCAATTCAGTTCGCTTCAAATTTATGAAATGAAATACCTTCAAATAATTTAACCTAACATGCTGAAGTAACAGTTAGGAATGAATCTTTAAAGCAGGAGAATTTACTGTTTCTTTTACCAGAAGTATTTAACAGTGTGAACCAAGATATACAGACACTATATCCATTCTGTTTGAATGACAGCAAACTAAGAAGTTTACATGTATAATTCAGGCATACAAATAGCCTATAAAACCACCTCCCGTAGTGTATTTCCTCCTGTTGCGTGAAGACAGCGAAGTTACGCAAAGCAGAGATAATTGAAAGTGATACCTGATATGGAAACATTTACTTCGCGATACGAATTTAAAACAAACAACAAAGGTTAGCAAAGCAGGATTTAATGATGAATTCATCATATTTCGGTGGGACTCTGTAGCTAATACACTACATGCAAGGGTATATGTACTTCCAGAAATACGTTGGGAGCTATAATATTGATAAGCAAATAGACTACATTGAATCAGTCATGCAAACAACACGTGTGAATGTTTTCCAGGTCATGTTCAAGTAGGCAAGAGGAAGAGAGTATGAAAGATAAGAATTAAGATTAAATGTATTACGCTTCAATTACATCACTTAGATAAAGAATAAGTCATCAGAGAAAAAAATTTAAATATATCAAGAATTACAAACTGAGTAATATTAATGGTAATAGTTATAGTAATGATTCTGAAACAAGTTAAGATAATTGTACTGATAGAGGATAGTTCCAAATGAATCAGGAATAATGATAAAAGGTAGAACAAAGTGTTAACAATAATAAGAGTTAGAATCATGGTGACAACTACTTTCTTTTGTACACAGAGAACTGGTCTACAAACTTTAATTGCACAAGCCCCAGCAATTACAGGCATCTTCCTGTTTGTCGTCTGACAACAGTGAATGACCTAACAGCGTCAGTATCATGTCTGCAGTCTACAAGATGCTTTGTTATTGACTTCAGTTGTTTTCAACCACTTTGGCAAATGCTCCATCATACGAGTAGACAATCGCTTTTCTGTACAACCTATGTATTTGCTTCTACAAAGATATCCGATTCAAATGAAAATGTGGTGAGGGTAATTCATCATAAAATTAATCATTTTGGAAGATGTACAGTTTGAGATGAAATTTTCTTGTGGTCTCTCGTAAAAATCCAAAACATTCAGAGCATACTCCGTATTACACCCACTGCATGGATATTTTACAAGGAAGAGACAAGCTTTCAAACTTTAATCCAAAAGCCAAATCAAAACTCGGATCATTTCAAACAGATCTGTATTAGAAAACAAAAATATCGAAAATCCTGGAAACTTTTTTCTATTTTCACAAAATATGTCAAGTGATTACAGCGTAAACTTTTAATTTAGAAGTTATCCGACCATCAAATACCAAGCGCATAATTGCTGAACAGAAATGGTTTGCAGTTAACAAAAGTGTGCGTTGAAACAAAACATATACGAAAGTTGAAGATGATTAAAACAATCAGTCCCTTTGGTAAATTTGAATAAGGCATTTAGAAGACAAATTTCGCGAGATGATGGACTAGGCGAAGGTCGAAGTCTATTGTTTTTTGTACACACAGTTTAGGATGTATGTGATTAATCCCCAAAGTGCTTCTATCACCTACAATAAACTTGAATTAGAGTTATGTGCAATAATTGTGGAGCAGTCATTAACATGGTTTTTGTGACCAAAACATTAATAAGTGCATTGCAATGGATGATGATGGATTTCTATTCAGATTAATTACATTGGGATTTTCTGTGCCTTAATAGACATTTTGGAACATGTTCTTTTCGACGACATCGGGATATATAGGTGTCATTACAACCGCAGGTAAACTTGTAGATACAGTTTGAAGTAGAGTACACAGAATTTCGTCCTTTAATTGTATGCACAGGGATTGCAAATGTTTGATTTGTGAAGGAGAGAAGTGCGGTGTATAATGTGCGCTTGATGGCTGACAGAAGTCTTTGAGCTGTCAATTGCATAATTAGATCACCCTTGAATGGTACGTTAATAAAAGTAGCTTTCTTTGATACAGAAGCTGTCTTTTCAAGATGTGGTCTATACTTACTGTAACAATCGATAAAGTTTTCTGGATAACCATTAGCTAATAAAAATGAATGTATATGTTGCAGCTTATCCATCAGTGCGTCGCTCTTACATATTTTGTGGGGCCTTGGAAACAAACATTTCACTAGGGAACGTTTATACTGGATAGGAACAAAACTGGTTAAGTGACCTATTTAAATATGATGTACTTTTGTTTTATAGAATTGAGTAATTGTCATGTATTGTATTTTATTATTGTGAACCATGTTAGTTGTAAAGTGGTTGTAAAGAAACTACGAAATGAAAATATCATCTCACGAAATTTGTCTTCTAAATGCTTTAATAAAAGTTGAAGATCAACCAAAATTTGTCTAATTTATACAGAAATGTAAAACAGCATGTAAGGTACAGCTTTAGTAATTGAAGGCACACTACTAGATGTAATACCGCCTCAAGAGTATATAAATCTGACTACACAGCATTACAATCTGACATGAGTGATTTACACATTAGCTGAAACACGCATGGTGTATGATAAGCGTAATAATACTGTGGCGTGTGGTACTGATAAAACTTATCAGTATTACATAACAAGTACATAACACTACTCTCATATCTGTGTGGAGGTCAACAGCACTCAGCATCGAAACGAAGATAAGATCCGGATTTTCAACTCCAATGTGAAGTCAGTCAGTGCTACTATACGGATCAGAGACTTGCATTGCACGTCATAAAGAGCATCTCAAACAGAATACAGACCTTCATTAACAGTTGTCTTCGCTCAATACTCAAGATCAGATGGCCAGCCAGAAAAGATCAGCAATAGGATATCTGAGAGCGAACCGACCAGGAATCAATTGTGAAACAAACAGGCAGGAAGAAATGTAGATGGATTGGCTGGTCATACTCTGAGGAAACCATCAAGTGACATCAGTAGACAAGCCATTCTCGAGTGGAGCCCGAAAGGGAAGCGAGAGTTGGTCGTCCAAGGGTGATTTAGAGGAGGTCATGTGAAGAGGAGATGACAACGTGTGGGCAGACTTGGAGCTAGGTGAAGACTCTAGCAGAGAACCGAACGCAATGGAGACGCACGGCTGAAGCCCTATGTTCCTGTAGGAATTAAGGAAACAATAATAAATAATACATAACAAGACATTGGTGG